TAAGAAATTCTTTACTGCCCTCCACTGTCCACAACTTAACGGTAGGGTAAAAGACAAATAATTGAAGAATTTTCGAGGGGTTAAGCCATTAAATGCCAATGAAACGCACCATGTGCGGCTTTATCTCCCAAATAAAATATTTTAGAGCATGTGATCGCAATAAATATCCAAGTCTCTTTCAGTTCAAATCTTTTCTTCATATTAACTTGTAAACAGGGACGGCAATTTTCTTGGTGTTTTGTGAATTTTCTTGTTATGGAGATAGAGATTTCGAGAATATTTTTCTTCGTAGGTGGAGATAGAGGCATTTTTTTCTTATGAAATTTTGTGAAAAATTTCTTCCGTCCGGTGGGAACCATAGAGGTCCATATAAAATAAATAAATAAATTTATTTATTTATATATTTTTTAAATATATTAACAATTAATTTTATTTACTCAACCTAATTAATTAATCAATTTTTTCTTTTTTTCAGTTTTTCCAAACCCAATTGTATAGTCCAATTTAGCCCATAATCATCTTAAACTTAATTGCCCAAACCCAACTCAATTTGCATTATCTTCTTAAACTTAATTGTCTAAGTCTAACCCAATTTGCTAGTAACCCTTAAACTAAAAAGACTATTTCAAATTTTTGAGATTTGCGAATTTGCTCCGCAATTCCTCCTCTCCAGACTCTAGTCTCCTCTCCAGACTCTAGTCTCCTCTCTTCTGCGCTGTAGCTCACTGGCTTTGTTTTTGTTCTTCAATCGGTCAATTCCCTTCAACCTATCATTCTCAACAACCTTCAAAAGATAGTGCCTATAGCTCTGTTTCAATTCTTCAGTCGGCTACTTGCAGCTTGTCTGAGTTGTGAGTATTTGTGAGTATTTGTGAGTATCTAAGTATCTGTACTTGATGATTTATTTTGAGGTGAAGTAGATCTCATTCTTTTGGCCTTATTATTTTCAATTTCATTTTCCCTTTGATTGTTCGCAAGATTGTCAGAATATGATTTTTATTGTTTACATGCCTGCACAGCTTCTTTCTCACATTCATAATGAACGATAATCGTATTGTTATTTTGCCTCTTTCAGGCTCTTAATTCATTCCATCTTCAGTTAATTTTTCCAATGAGAAACGAGTATCTTCGGTTAATTTTTCAAATGAGAAACGAGTATCAAGTTTTATTTAGTGGGGATTACGAATACCTACGGAGACCTATTATTCCCCGTTGGTATAAGGACGAAGGCTATTTTTTATCCTCTGCCAAAAATCCCTGTGGGGATCCCATACCCGTCATTAATGGGGATGGGATGGGGAGAGGGTTCTCGCCCCTGTGGGGACCCGTTGCCATCCCTACTTGTAAAGCCTCTAGATTAGATCTCAAGATAAACATTTTGATGCTTAAATCAATAATAATTTGGTCTACTCCAAAAGAGAGTGAAAGGGAAGCTCTAGGTCAATTTCAATTACCTCTAACCCATGATCCTCAAAGAGAATTTAAAAGTCTTAATGAAGTGTCCATGTGATCTTATTAACAAAATAATCAAGATCTAAAGTGGCCATCATACCAAACATCTTGAGAATGGAAATTAAATACATACAGTCTCACTATAACTATTGTGCAATTAAAAAGAACTCAAATCGTAACTCGGTTGTCAAGTAATCCAAGCTCGGTCTTGGCTTAAGAAGGAGGTTGGTAGTTCTGCTGATATGTTCATCATATGTTTGTGATCATCGATCTTGGACATGTACTTACAAAGGCTAAGAAAATTTTAATGTTATATATTTGATTTATTTATATAATTAAATTTTTGACACATTTAGGGTATTTAAAAGATACATTTTATGGAGGTGACCAAGAAATGGTTAGGGAGGAGGTGATGGGTCCACGAAAAATGAAATAAGATTGGGTTAATTGTTTTCTAGGAATATTTGGCTTATATTATTTGTCATTTTGGTATTTTGCTGTTGATTACGTTGGTAATTAAAAACGTATTAAGCAATGGGGCCACCAACTTGAGTGAATCCACAAAATAGGAGGCACCTTATCTTGTCTAGAAAAGAGCTATCAACTTGAGAAAAACTAAAGCATGTATGATATCATTTTTGCAGGACCATTTTGCTATGGGTCCTTCTTCAAGAAAATAATCTAAAAGTTATACCCTGAAAGTGACTTCTGGGCGTTTGGTTCGTTCAAAAGTTTTGAGGAAAGGCATTTTCGGATGCCACTTATTCAAGGAGTGCCTTTTATAGAAATTATCAATTGAATTCCTCGAATAGCCATGCGACATTTGTTGAGACAATCATAAAACCTTAACGTGCGAATTGAAGCATTTATTTGTTATTTATAAAAAACGAATTCAACAACTTTACTTCAATTATCTCAAACTCACCCTTGGAGCTTGAATTCATTGATAAGTACTCATTCTTGTATTGTAGATAAAACAAAAGCTATTAATATAGGGGATTAAAAACTCTCCATCCCTTATTCAGCCGTATGAGTACTATATATTTATGGAACTAACCTTGTCTTTGTTGTATAAATGCCCCAATATTAATTTCAAGGACTAGGATCTAATTATACATAGCTCTTACACATATTATTTGCATAATATTTTGACAATTTGTTTTTCTATTATAAATTGTTGAAATTTATTATAAATTTTTAAATAAAAAATAATTATATTTAAAAATAAAAAAAATAAATATATATTAGTTATTAATAAATAGATAAATACTTAAAATTTTATTTAATTATCATGTGTAAAAGATATGCATAAATTTCAACGTTTAAAGTTGATGTATACATTTAAAATTAGAAGTTTCAATATCCAACCATGAAGACCCCCTGTGCAAAGTTCTTATGATTACATATAAGTAATTGTCTTTCAAATATTCCAGGACTTGAACACACAAACTTAAACGAAGGCATTGCTGGCGTTTCTGCAAGGTGGCATTCAATTTTTCAGAAACACAAGAAGGAGAAGAAAGAAAAGGCAAACGTTACGTAGTTATTGGGCCTGGATTTCAATGACCCAATACAATAGGGAATAATAGGCCCCCAGAAACCCTGGGACAAAATCGGCTCTTGCTTTGTCTCAATTTTTGCAACTACAGAAATCTTGGCCCATTAAACAAGACATTGGAGGTTTAATGTATTTTCCAACTCGAGCCCTTACATTCGGCCCAAAAAAAAAAAAAAAAGAGCCATTACCTTATTTCTCTATGTTGAGCAATTGGGGATTTTTTTTTTTATGACATCTGTGGATAAAAAATAAATAAATAGAGCATAAATAATGAAATTTCATACTTAATAGTAAAAAATAGTTTTTATTTATGTAGTTGGTTACTTGGTTTGACAATGAAGCTATTAATTATTAAAGTTTTGTTTGGAAACCTTTTTTTAGTGTTTTAGTTTCTAGTTTTTATATTTTTTTATTATTTTAAAATTATATAAATATTAATAAAAATAAATATTAAATATATTTTATATATTTTTATAATATTAAAGTACTAAAAAACCCTATAACCACAATTACAGCTTAACAATTTCTACCCCAAGCCTTAAGTGATTGGGCGAGGTAATCGGAGTTTCGAGTTCCACCACTGTCGTGAATTCTATGAAAAAGTGGTCTGATAACTGTGCACCTCATTTGAGAGAGTGGAATGTTCACCCGGTCTGAGAACCAGTTGTTAACAACTAATTCATATTAACTTCTTAATCATTACCTTTGTAAAAAAAAAAAAAAAATTTCAAACCAAGTCTAACTGTCAAAGGATGAAATTTCATACTAAATAATAAAAGATGGATTTTATTGATGTAGTTGGTTTGACAATGAAGCTATCAATTATTAAGCTGCCACCAAATGTTCCATTGTTCGTTTCTATTTATGCGAACAATGTATCAAGCCTTGTGGTAGTGTACCGAATCACCGGGCAGAGTTGCCGGAACTCCTTCAAAAGAACATGATATGATAGCTTCAAGAATAGAATCCATTTATGACTAAGTATTACTCCATTTTATTATATTAGTTGTTTAGGCCTTTACACTAGAATTAAGATAATAATTAATTATTTTTAATTTTAGCGGTAAATAAAATAAAAAGATTATTTTACTATCTTCTTTTAAGAATTTTATCTTATCGTAAATTCTATTTATCAGTTATTTTTTTTTCTTTTGGTTTTCTCCTTCATTTATCGTTTCATTCGTTGTAGAACATGTCTATACGATTCCAAGTTACCAACACCTTCATTTAATTCAATTCCACTTATTTTTCATTTTAATATTACCAAAGTATATTCTAATATTTGACTCTTTAATTTTTGTTTCCCTTAAAAAAAAATTACTTATAAAATTCTCTTCATCTCCAAGTTGATGCTCATCCCAATATTAATAACCGCTGCTATGGCAAGGCAACAAATGCCTTTAGGTGAATTAGATCTCAACATTGTACCTATTATTGCGGAATATACACACAAGTAAAGGAAGCAAGAGTAGATTTGACGCATTGAGAATGGAAGAAAAATTAAATAATCATTTTGAAGAGTCTTCCAGAATTGAGATGAAAGGAAGGAAGGCAAAGAGTCTATTATAAAGCTTAGATTCATTAAGTCTTTATTGGAGGATACAAGTGAAAATAAAAATGAAGAAAATCTTGGTTTATTCAAAATGATAAATAAATAAAAACAAAAATTTTAATATAAAATGACTAATATAGTGGAATATAGTGAGTACCTAATAGATTAAATTTTAGAATTTAAGTTTTAAGATCAATGCTTAAAAAAATTAAATTTTTGAATCACTAAATTAATGTAGAAATGTGTTATTAAAATTGATAAAAAATAAATTACTCTTGAAATATACAATACATTGACTCGATTAACAGTAAATAAATTAAAGAAAGAAAAAGAAAAAAAGAACATGACATGATCCTTTAATGAACACCAGGCAAAAATTTCCTTCACCTTTAAAGTCTCCACAATGTAAATTAAATTTGCCTAAACTTTCGAGTGTCAGACATCAAGCCAACGATAATGTGTATGGCTCAACATTGTGGGATATTCAAAATTTCAAACTCACGTCTACGGAACCATAAACTCTACTACTGCTCATAACTACTTATAAGGAAAAAAAAAAATCTCAATTAATGTTAAATTAATCAAATTAATGTGGTTGTTTACTTGAGAGTTGTAAGACACGTTTGCAGTTGTTGACAAGCTCTCGAGTCAACTA